AAGACACACAAACGCAATACAGTGTTAGAGTGGTAATGACAGAAAAGGCAAAGATGGTCGCCATGAATAGTGTGGCCTTTACTAACCAATCGGTGTTTAGCGTTTAATACTGTGTGAAGTAAAACTTGCCATATTGATTAATGGACAAACACCAGTATTTTCTGATATATAATGCACTGTTAGAGTACAACTGTTTTCCTATTAGGTGCATTACGAAATAAGTAAAAAAAAAACATGAAGTACTGTTTGCATGGAGAGCACAACGCTGAAAAAGACACGGGCAGAAATGATTTGCAGCTGATGAACACTGACAAATAATCAAACGGGAAAAAAAGGAAAGGAGAGGAAGTTGAGAACAAAAACCAGAGATGAACAAACATGGAGTGGATAAACGCTGTGTTGGTATGTGAACAGCACAGACGAAGAAACGAGTGAATCGAACAATAGCAACTACTCTCTCTGCCTGCAAAGAAGTTAGTGCATTAAGCACAAAGAGAATCACAATAAGAGAGATAGCGAGAGATTTTGGCCATTTCTGAGAGGGAGGTGGTACAATATCCTTAAGCTTTTCTCCCACAGTTGATCTAAAGTGTAGAGGGGTGAGATTATGAAGAGGGCATACCGCTTTCTGCTTCTGCAAACAACAAGAAAACATTATAAATCAAACATAGACTGGGAAAAAAGGAGGCGAGGTGTCAGTCATCTGTATCTGCACAGTAAGATCAGGAAATGAAAAAAGAAAAAGAAAAAAAAAAAAAAAAAGTAGAGGGCAAAACAGTCACTTTCACCATGAAAAAATACACTTTGCATTGGTTAACTCGTCTGTCCTACAAAGGAAAAATTATGGTCTAAATCCCAAAGTGCGCTTCCAAGTTTAGACCAGCCCAGGACACCAAATTGAGAGTTACACTAAAGGATAATGTTGTGCCCTCTAAACGTTTTGCCATTATGTGGGGTATGGCAAAGTTATTAACCAAAGTTTAACAGTCATCCATTACAAAGTAATCAAATTATATGAACTGTATCATACCGAGTGACAGTAAAAAATAACTTTTGTTTTACAGTCGTTGCGTGTGTTGGCACGAAGAACACTGGACATGAGTGGCACTTTTATGTGATATTGGGGAAAAACAAGGTTCTGTGTTACATTTTTAGCAGGCGATTCAAAAAGAGTGGGAAAAAAAAAGGAGAAAACTACTTCATAACTGTTCTGAATATACATCTCTCTGAGACACAATATGGCAAAACCTGGTAGTGGTGGGCGGTATGGGCAAAATCTTATCACAGCATGACTCATTTTTAACATGGTAATGGTATATATCATAAACAAGAAAACTGTTTATATTTTAAATAACCATATGTTACAAGCTATTTGGGGATAATCCAGAGAACTAAATAGTTCACAAAAGAAATACAATTCATCTCATTTAATCATTTGTTTTCTTTTTAACCTTAAATTTACTGGAAAAACCTAAAAGATCAAATTATTCATACTTACTCAATGTAACTGAGTGAAAAAAAAAAAAAACGAGTTAAAAACAAAAGAATCAAAACTAATATTATAAAATGGATAGTTAAGATTCAATTGACTGGATGAGCCACGTTGAAATATTAAAATATGTCCAATAATCATTGAGATTCCACAGAAAATTCTCCTTGCAATGTTGCAACAGTAAACAACAAATATCACTTCGCCAAAAAAAAAATAAATAATTGTTTGACACATCTCATACTTTATTACATGGAATGCTCTGTGTGACACACAAATAATGAGAAATAGTACTAGCCAATATCTTAATCTACTGTGAAATAAACAGTAGGTCTCGGTTTTGACACAAATTTCACGATTCGATTCGATTCTCATTCACAAGCTTGCGATTCGATGCGATTACCAATTCGATTCAATATTGATTATTTTGGATATATATCAGGTACAGTACATAGCAAATTTTCTCAAGGAAAAAAATCTCTCAACTAATGCTGTAAAACATACATGAGAGTCAGTTGGAACTGCATTACTATAATATTGAAGGTTAAAATTGACTGATTTGTTAAAATTACACTTAATGAAGTTTTTAAAATAATAAAGTTACAATTACATAATAATATTTCTACTTCAATTCGTTTTTTATAAACATAATGGTGGCTGTCATAAAAACTTGATGGATTTATTCAAACATAAATTAAACATTGAAGAACAGTAAAA